ATAACTTTAAAATGGTTTGAGCTAAAGAATTCTTAACTGCAATGGTTCTTTTTTTATTTGTGTAATATATACAATACGTGAGAAAATGATGTACAGAATGTAATGTTTTGGGGTTCACACCAATGTTTTGGAAGTAATGGGTAGGGGTTAATTTTTTATATGCACGCCTGTGATCAGCCCAAGTACATTGTCTAATACAAAATCTATTTTTTAATTATTTTTTGTCTCCTTTTTAATATCTTAATATCTCTTATGAATGGTTGGTAAAACGGATATATTTTTAAAGGAAATATGCTGAAATATAGGTTATTTCAGAATAAATTAAAAAATGGCAAAGCTGACTCATAGCTTCGTTTCTGGACTACCATGGAGGTTGATGGTTGATTCCTTGACATTGCAAGTGACATGTTGCTTTCCCTCTTCTTCTTCTTCTTCTTCAAAAAAACTCTGAAACTGAAGATTGGAGCCACTTTCTAAAATCACGATATCGGTGAGAAGATATCAGTGATAAGAGTGAGAAGTGGTTTTAGTCTGATCCCTATTTATATATGTTGTATGCATAATGAAAGACTGTCACAAATGTTTATTTTAGAAAAGTAAAAATCACTAGCAGATACGTTAAAAATAATAGTAGGAGGAGGACTATTTGATATCAAAGCGGCCAATCGTAGATAAATAGAGGAAGTTGTTTCTAATTGGCCAGAGACCGTTGATTATATGAATTTATACATATTATATTTCACACCGAAAAACAATGGTTACTATTATGAATTATTTACCAAATGCATAATAAATCTATATTCGGTAGTCATGAAAATTAAAGACATACTGGGAAAGGGAAAATACCATGTAAAAAAAGCTGAAGATTTTATCAACGAAATCAAGAGAATCCAACCAGCTCCAGATAACATCTTAGTATTTCTGACCACTTAAAGTTGGAAAAAATGGTTCTTTTATGTTGCTAAATGTACTTTGTAAAGAGAAAAAAACATATTACCAACACAATTTTTTTTGCTTCATTTAAGACGTTAGAACGACATTTTGAGTTAAATTAATAATTTCTTTAATGTCGATATTGAAACGCTAATAGTGTTATTCTGTAATTTTCATAGTGCTATTAATTTACACCTAAAAAAACATAAAATAATTTATAAATCTTAATGTATTCGGTAGTATTTTAAATACATTTGGTTAACAATTAGGGAAAAATATATATACATTAAGTAATGGTCATTATACATATTATGATTAATTAGTAATTTTTCTGAGAGTAAAATAAAACTATTATCCTTAATTATGTAACATCGAAATGAATGTTTAATTACTGTTTAACCTTTGATCACCTCACAAACACCAGTTAATTTTATATTACTTGCTGATATGCTTCTACATGTATCAAAATAAATTCTAAAACGTAATAACCAAAGTGCATTGTTTTGAGTCGGTAGTAACTCGTCAGAATATTTTAAAGTCTACTTATGAACTAAGCCAACAACTAGGTCTTTCCGAAGTCAGTTCAATATGTATGGAAACGCCTAGAAATAAAAGTTGATGAGTTTCATAGGCGCGAATCACACCAAATTTCGCATTGCTGCACTGCACTGCTAGGCAATTTGTCAACAGCTGAAATTTATGGCCCAGTCGCCCAGTGCGGCTGTGTTTGTGCGCTGTTTGCCCGCGCGCGCATTCTTCAACTGGGCGAATACATTTCTACCACCTCCACGCTTAATTCGACTAGACCTGTATATAGGTGTGGCTAAATAAATATGGGAACAGGTTGTTCAAATATTTCAATGCCGAGTTGCTGCGTAGCTACAGAACCTGGTACATACTGCCTAGCTCTTTGGTCTTCAATTGAGTTCGGAAAGACTATACTATTAGGTTACTACATTGAAGCATACTACATGGAGGAAGCACTCTTACGGCTATAGTGTAGACGAGTGACAGAGAGAGAAAAAGATAGTTTGGGTATAATTTTTCTCTCTCGCTCTTCGAACATTGGTGATTAAATGTAAATTTACCACTAATTGCTTTATCTATGTTGTTTTGTTCGTTGCTCTTGTTATTGTTATGTAAATAAATGTGTTAAAAAGTATTAAAGACAAGAAATATTAAATTAATTTATAGAAAATATTCAAATGTTTCACATGGCTTCTTGATTTTTTTTATTAAAATTATAATTATATTCAATATTTTGGTAATTTATTTAAGAAACCCCATAAATTATACATAGTTGTAGAGAATTTTCCCTTTTTTCTAATGAGGTAAAAATTCATTATAGCGTCCATAAGAAAAACAAAAGTTAACTACCGCTCAGCACACATTTCTAAATACCAGTTCACTTTAACATCTATACAGGGTGATTCATAAACGGTGACCAAAAATGAAATATCATGATTATACCGGAAAGCAGTAGCGTACTATTTTATTTACAAAAATATGCCACCGATACCCTGTTGTTATCTCCGCCACTGAAGTTTTAGAAAAAGCCTCAGATTTTGGACAATGTTTACATAAGTTCATGTGTCCAATTTCAAATTATTTCACTTACTAGTTTTTAAATTATTAAAAAAATAATAAAAATATTTTTTAAGTTTAACACCCCATACCTTTTTAAAGAAGCGTCCTAGATAAAAACTTTATAGGAAATACTCCTCTTAAAATTCACCAAAGAATACGAGGTTTCATTTTTGGTCACCCTGTATAATTTGCTATTTTTTATAATTAAACACATAAGTAATTAATCTATCAAATAAATTGTTTAACTACAATCCTTGAGTATACTATACAAATCTACAATACCCATATAAGATCTGAATTTCAATGGTTTAAAAATTACAGTAATTACTGAAACGAAATTATTTTTGCAACAGGTATAATTAATAAGACCAAGGAATTTTTAAATATAAAATTGTTTCTAAATTTAAGAGAGAGATGTCAAATATTAAAGAGGTATATCGGGGTCCGAGGGAAGTGAGGAACGCAGGGGGAGTCCTATGCTTTTCTTATGGGACTAAAGCCCGCTGCCAATTTGAAAAAATTAAATTCTTTTGAAATTATTTGCGATAAACATTATCTATATAGCAAATAAATCTACTCATATGCACATAGCATACATATTGACTAATTAACAACATAGAAATATCATATTTAAGTAATTTTAAATTATATTTAATGAACGCATACAGACTATGTAGATGTGGCAACAGCGCTAATAATTGACTAGCAGTTGTACACACTGCGAAGCTACAGACCTCGGACATCGGAGATATTGCGCGTCAAATTCGGGTAAAGATGCGTACGCGTTCAAAAATGTATTGTGTGTAAACTATGTACAATATAATTATTATATATAGCAAATATATCGTATTATCCTCGCGAAGATTTGTATCCTTTATTTAAAATCCGTAAATCATGTGAACTGGTAAAACAACGAGAATTATGTTAATTTAGTTCTAAAGAAATGAAATGACACTCGCGCCCATATCTCGTCCAAGTCAAAGAAAATGTTGGATGCAATTTTGAAGGTTCTGTGGTAGAAATTACATTATTACTCACTGTTCATGTTTCGTGTCTGTTTTAGTAACGTTACAAAAGTTTTGCAACTATAACTAATTTTTTAGATATAAAGTTTGCTGAGAAATATTTATGTTCCTTTGTTATTCCGTACAAATGCTTTTATCTCCAGTATTACTAATTATATTAATCAAGTAAAGAAAACTTTATGTAACCCTAAATATTGCTGGGTAATGATTACGATGCTTTTATAAACCATTAAATATATTAAATAGATTTATCAACTGTATTTTTTATTCCAATAAATATATCACAGCTTCTTAGTCTTTTTAATTAATCTAGTTTTTTAAAAACATTACAAAAAATCATCTGTTGTGGATAATTTATTCTCGATAACAATGTATATGGGATTTAGGAAAAATGTATATGTTTGAAATCAATTTCGCTTTTATCAAGTCTTTCAAATGTATTCTCTCCTTGCTGTCAGCTGATTGCCACATTGCCACATTAATTCTCCTCAAGTCAAACAGAAATGCAATTATTGGTTTCTGTTTCTAATTAATACAGCTGTACTATGTTCAAAACTTACATTGGTTTTACATCAAAAATAAGATAATACTGTGTACTATCTATGGAAAAGTTTTGTTTCACAATTTCTACATTTTTGTCTCAGTTATGGGCAAAAAAAGAGCCGCACCGTCCATCTTCGCCATATAAACCTATGTTAAAATGAACAACTTTCAACAACAATATCTCAAAATCTAGGTTCAAAAAAATTTCAAAAAAATATGACGCACAGAGGGAGCACTGGGTAATACGCTATATAAATTTCAAGTACATCTGTGCATTTGAGTAAACCCCATATACCTCCTTAAATAGCATATTAAATTGTAACATTACCACGGTATGTTTTTGCAGACGAACTGTGTGCTTCAAAGCCAATTGGCATAATTTCTATGCATTTAATACGTAGCTTGAGAACATAATAAATAATAATTCCTGCGCTTTACTACATTCAACTATAAGAGATACGGGAATTTCTAATTTGTAAATTTTATAGGTTAATGTTTTTATCAGCCTACGCTCTGATCAATTGTATTTGAATTATGAATTATTTCCTTTTATCAACTTTGAGTATACCTATATATTGTTGTTAGTTGTGCATCATCATTCTGAATAACTGACATTAAAGAGAAATCGTAACATTAAGCTGGTTTCTGCTAGTTTCTGATGATTAATTTTAAATGGCTCCAGCAAAAAAAAAATAGTGACATCAGAACTGTTGTAGATTTATAAACAGAGTACTAATCTAAGTAATGTACATGTAACATTTTTCTGAAATTTTCAATAATCAAGCTTAACAAAATACTAACCCGTTTGACTTTATCAATCATTTGCATTATTTTGATACTAAAAATACTAAATATTATATACTAAAAATGTTTTTGTGTTTTATTCCAAAAATGATCAAATTATTGTTACAGGTAATTTACACATTGATCACCATGGTGGGCGAAAGTAGTCCTGTGGCGGAATGGTACCGGGGTAAAAATGTATTTATCACTGGAGCCACTGGCTTCATGGGAAAAGTTATGGTCGAGAAATTATTATACGCGTGTACAGGAATTAAATCCATATACATTTTAATTAGGCATAAAAGAGGAAAGTCGCCGCAACAGAGGATACAAGATATGTGGCAATTGCCGGTAAGAAATGGCCTTTACAACATTCTGCCACATGTTCTTTGAATCAAAATAAGTCGGTATACATAAAGTTACTACAAATGTTCTTAGTTTGAGCGCACGAAAGTCGTGAACTGTTAATTTATTTTTTTTTTATTATAAATGTGATTTTGCTCAAATTCAAATTCAAATCAAAGTAGCATTTTATCCACGCAAGGATGTTTAAACGCGAGAACATAGTTCGAGCGTATAATATTCTTAAGTGGATAAAATACAATTAAAACACGAATGCTATACAACGTTTTATCCATAATCACATCACAGTTATATTTGTGGAGTCAGAATTATTGGAATTTAATAAAAAAAATATTGTCATGACTTGATATTTCTTACTAGTACTTAATAAAACGTGGTAGGTTTTGTTATATCTACTGGATGCTATGGTACGTTGTTTATTATCAATTATTTAATAAACGGTTCTATCTGAATTTGGTAAAAATGAAAGAAAGTAATTGCGTTCCTATGGCTGCTTTTGAAGAAACTTAAGAAGCAATTTTCCATTTATTGCCAGCGAAATCCAGGGAACATTACGTAAAAGTGTTCGCCGAATTTAACGAATGGATGAAAAGACGGGGAGTAATGACAATAAATGAAGAAGTCATGCGATCTTATTTTTTAAATTTGAAGAAAAAAAATATGCAATTTCATCTATGTGGTCGAAGTATTCGATGTTGAAGGCTACTACATATAAAAGTCTACAAAAATATAGATATTGGAAAATATAAGCTTATTGCTTATTTGAAGAGGATACAAAGCAAAAAATAATTACTTTAGGTTGCACTAATAATGGGGGTTTCTCGTGCCTGTCGATGCTACGAATTGACAAATTTGAAAATTAGTGACGTACAGGACGTTGGCAGTTACCTACTTGTTTCAATACCTGACACCAAGACGAGCATTTCAAGAAAATTTACAATTATAGAAGAAGGATTTGGCGTGAATGCCGTTGAAATATGCAGAATATATATTTCTCTGCGCCCAATTCCCCTAACACAAGACAGATTCTCTTTAAAATACATCAATCAAAAATGTACTTCTTACAATTAGCCTGTTGGAATCAACACATTTGCGAAGGTACCCTCCATAGTCGCTTCATTCCTGAATATCACAAATCCAGAAGCATATACTGGCAACGTATGAGGCGCACTTCAACAACTTTATTGGCCAATAAAGGTGCTGATCTTATAACCATCAAACGGCATGGTGGATGGAAGAGCTCCTTTGTAGCAGAAAGTTATATTGAGGAGTTTATACAGGGTGTTAAAAAAAGAGTGTAAAATATTTTAGGAGGTAATAGTATGAACCAAAATAAGCAGAAAAGTCTTAATAAACATGGGTCCGCAAAGTAACGGTTGCGGAGATATGGACCACTATTCGTTTTTCAAACATTTTATTTTATTAGGAATAAACCGACAAAGGAAGCTTTTAACAAACAAAAAACAAAGTTACAGAAGATGTTCAAAGTGCCCTCCGTCCATTTCCAAGCAGGCACGACATCTTCGTCTCAACGATATTCGAACTCTTTCGAAAACACCCTCCTTGGTTTGGATTTCTTGACACTTTTGATTAATCCGTAGCTGCAGCTCTTCCAGGCTATTTACAGGAGTACCATACACTAATGTCTTCAAATATCCCCAAACAAAGAAATCTAGAGGGTTCAGATCAGGCGATCTTGGAGGCCATAAAACAGGTCCGGCCCTTCCTACCCATCTATGTGGAAAAGTTTGGTGTAAATGCTCTCTAACGGCCATGGAAAAATGAGCTGGAGCACCATCATGCTGGAACCACATTTGTTGCCTCTGATTCAAAGGAATGTCTTCCAAAAACTCATACAGTGTGTTCTGCAGAAAGTTGAGGTAAGCAGCGCCTGTTAATCGGTTTGGTAAAACAACAGGACCTAGAAACCTGTCACCTACAATACCCATCCAAATGTTTAATGAAAAACGTGCCTGATGTCCAGATTCTATTAGAGCATGAGGATTTTCGTCGGCCCAAATATGCGTATTGTGAAAATTAAACACTCCATTTCTTGTGAACCCGGCCTCATCAGTAAAAAGAATGTTTGCAAGAAAACGAGGGTCTTCAGCATCATGACGTAGAAACCAGCGGCAAAAAACCAAACGTGCTTGATGATCATTTATTGGATTTAAGGCCTGTACTCGTTGCACATGGTATGGATAAAGCAGTTGCTCGTGAAGGATTCTCCAAACAAGAGGACCACTAATTCCTACCTCGGCTGATATTCTCCGCACACTCGTACCTGGATTCTGCTCTACCAGTGCTAGAATTTCTTCTTCTGCTCTAGGAGTGGATACCGACCTTGGTCTTCCGGATAAATGGCACTGTTTGCTCAAGGAACCGGTATCACGCAATCTTTGGTGAATTCTTCCAAACATGCGTTGTGAAGGAATCTGGCGATTTGGATAAGCGTCAACATAAAGACGTCGCGCTTCGGTGGCGTTCCCATTAGCACGACCATACATGAAATGCATGTCTGTTAATTCTGCGTTAGAGTAACCAGCCATAGCGAAAGAAAACTTGTGCACTGAGAACAACTGTCAAATACGTACTGTTTATTTCACTAAACATCAACCAACTATTATAAGAAAATACACAACGTTTTTGCAAAATAAAAAAAGGGGCTAAAAAACATAAAACATTCCATATCTCCGCAACCGTTACTTTGCGGACCCATGTTTATTGAGACTTTTCTGCTTATTTTCATTAATACTATTACCTCCTGAAATATTTTACACTCTTTTTTTAACACCCTGTATTTAACAAACTTGATATTGCAAGGAAAATCCAAGGAAAATATAGCTGTTCTTTACAAGACCTGTGCAAATTCTTCACAAACTTAGGCAGATGTTATGCGTTTCGAAAATTATGGCAACAATGCTACAAGGGTTGTTATTAAAGGAAAGGAAGTTAAATGTGATAAAACAAAAAAACGAAATGTCTAGTACCATAAATGTAAATGTTAATGTTAATAAGTAAATAAATTTATTATATTTTTTCATTATTCTACAAGTGAAATAAAGTTACTTTATTCCTCTAGTCTAGTGGATAAAGTATCACTTTAGACGGTTCATATGTGTGGATAAAAGTCCAATTATAAGGTGATTGTGGATAAAATAATGTGATTTCTCCATAAATTCTGTGAGAACATTTCATTCTTGAGCTAACTAGTTTTTAAGTATCATTGTTAAAAGAAAATTGCACGTGGATAGGGATCTTCGACAATTTTAAAACTGCTTGTACTTTATTACTATCTTGCTGCACCGAATAAGTAGGGAAAATTATTTGGAGTACCTCCAAAATACGTTGCCACTTTCACAATGGGTTCTATTTAAAATGTGCCCATATTACAGATGTTCGAGCGACTAAGGAAATCACAACCGAATGCCATCCATAAGATAGTGCCTCTCTGTGGAGATGTAAATTCAGATGGACTCGGCCTGGCGAGAGTTGATACGGAACTTCTCATAAACAACGTCAATGTTGTGTTCCATATGGCAGCCACTTTAAAATTGGAGGCCAACCTAAAAGATGCCATTGAACAAAATACTGTTGGTACAGCCAGGGTTATTGATGTGTGCAAGAAGATTAAAAATCTGGAAGCCTTTATACACTTTAGCACGGCTTTTTGTTCTGCAGACATCGACGTCTTTGAGGAAAGGGTAAGTTAGAAGTATTAATGTTTTTTAGACTTGATTTACTTTTGTTGGGAAATATTTAATTGTTAGGTAGAAAAGAAATGAAATCGTTTTGGTATAATAGGTAGAGAGATTTTTTGACTAGTTCTTTTTTAATCCATAGTCTATTAAAACCTGAGTAGCTTCAGAAGGAATCTCAGAGATGTTTTTTATTTACGGAGAAGTTTTGTTTTGTTTTCGTTGTTTACGCATGAAAAATTAAATGTATGTTTGTTAATCTGTGCTTAAGTTTTACTAATTTGATATTTAAAAGTATCTCAATAGATCTATTTAGTAGTGACGTCACATACGCCAAATAATAGGCAACCCCATTGTAATGAAGAATTTCCCAATATTTTTACTAGATCGATTTTTGACCCTATGTACTTTGGACATAAATGCCAAAGAAATGGCTTCTTTGTCATTTACTTTAAATATCGCTTATATTCTGGCTATATTAGAAATATTTAAGAAGTTTCAAATCCTAAGTGACAGACTAATAGAATATTTGAATTTATATTTTATAGAACAATACTGACTTTTATGATAATTATAAATTAAAATTATATCAATGTTACTGAGCATGCGCATTATAGATAATTTCATGTAAGCCAAGTAGCCTCGTAACAGGATATCATTCAAGAAAAGTCTGGTTATGGTTAAAAGTACGTTTATAATAAACCATGCGAAGAAAAAAAAACACACTCAATAAACACACTGAACCACTTAGTAGAACTAGAAATGCCAAGATTAAACAAAAGAAGAGGAAATACGCTAATGACGAAAGCGATGACATATAAGCAAGATCTCACCTGCGTATGAGGCTATTCTTTCCGAGCATAAGCATTAGGAATAACACGGCTAATGTTAAATTTATATTTTATTTTTTACAAATATTCTTTTATACCGTTTTTTTTAAGTTTTAAGCATATTAGTGTGTCTATTTTACGAAACACTTGTTGATTGTTCTTAAATACTTGTAAAAATAAATGAATTTGAAGTTGTTCATTTTTTATTGTAGTATCTACGTAAATAGTACACAGGGGTCAGATTCGGTCTGTACAATTTCAACTGTGACAATTTGTTGCGAGTTGCCTAAATATGTGACGTCACACTAAAAGTCTATCGCGAATATATAAATTTTGTTAATACACCAGGAAAATTAGCGAAAATAAAAGAGAAACTCGAAAAAAGTCCTATCCGCTAGATTATTGTAAAATTGTCTAAAGGAACATAATACAAAACATCTCTCGTCTCGTGAGTCAAAAACTTCTATTAGCTAACTTTTCTATTTAAACAAATAAGTGAGGAAAACAGTTTTTTCACTTTGCAGGGAAAACCATCAATTTTAGCGAAAAATGACTCACAGACAGCTTATAGGGAGTAAAATTATCTACAAAATGAGACTAGTTAAATTAAAATCGGTTAATAAACAAAAAAGTTATTGCAAAAAAAACAAGAAAAGTACCCATTTTGAATTTGTTTATAACTGTCGCATTTATTGTTAAAATTTTATGAAACCTATGACAAGTTGGGGGTTTTGTCATACTTTAAAAGTGTGCCAAAAGTGGGCGCTGTAGGTGCAATACTTTCCGCACAATTCTATTTGTTTATAGCGGAGGCTCCAAAAGTTATGAACTTTAAGCCTCTGTCCAGGCGTTAATTTTCAATCAAACATGATTCTGAAAGCGTCATTGTAATCTTAAAGATGCAATTAAGCGGCCTATTAAAAAATATCACCGTTTTTTGACGTTAACATTCTCAAATTGTGCATTAAAAAACCGTGCGTTTTTCGCTTATAAACAATTTGAATAACATTGTTGCTATTTATGCTATCTCACCGAAAATAGATGCAATGGATAGCTGGTAAAAAATACAGTTTTAAAATAAAAAAGTACCCTCTACGACCAACAGGAGCCAAGACATTAACCGATTTTAATTTAACTAGTCTCATTTTGTAGATAATTTTACTCCCTATAAGCTGTCTGTGAGTCACTTTTCGCTAAAATTGATGGTTTTCCCTGCAAAGTGAAAAAACTGTTTTTCTCACTTATTTGTTTAAATAGAAAAGTTAGCTAATAAAAGTTTTTGACTCACGAGACGAGAGATGTCTTATATTATGTTCATTTATACCATTTTACAATAATCTAGCGGATAGGACTTTTTTCGAGTAAAAATTTAATTTGCTTGGTCTATAAATACACTAGGCACAGAATTAAAGGGATAATAAAAACATCCCAAATGGGAGATTTTTGAGGAGCTGTAACTTGGAGGGAAATGGTGGTAGAGAGAATCCAAAAAAGAAAATTGAAGCTTCGTCTCTATATTTTGGATTTGAAATTTAAAATTTTTTAGCGTCAGCAGTTTTTGAGTAATAAGAAAATCAACGAAAAAAAAATTATAAATTTTTGCTTTGTATAAAAAAGACCTAAAGCTTTTTTAGATAATTTAATTTTCTTTAATTTGAGTGGTTCCGGAGCCCTATACGATGATTTGTCAAAAACTCCTTTTTGACTAGGGAAAAAATGGTCGTACAGAAAATCTAGGCAGTTTTTTGAAAACTGCAAAGTATTCTCTAAAGTCGTAATTATTGGCTTTTGAAAAAAATAACAGCCCCACAAAAAAAAGTGGCAGGTCCGAAAGACAAGACCATGGGATCCATATGGTTTTGGGGTCGCTGAATCCGAATTCGGTGTCCGTTTAACACGGTTAGCTCTAGTTTAAGGTCAGTTCAAGGTCAAATATAGAAAATCAATTGCCAACAAACTAAACCTACGTATCTATACGTTTTTGAGGTCGCTAAATCCGAATCCCGTATCCGTTTGACTCGATCAGATCTGGTTTAAGTTTAGTTCAAGGTCAAATGTAGAAAATCAATTGTCAACAAAGTAAACCGATATATTCATATGTTTTTGGGGTCGCTGAAACCGAATCCGATGTCCGTTTGATCTGATTAGCTCTGAGTTAAGGTCAGTCCAAGGTCAAATGTAGAGAATCAATTGCCAACAGAGTATACCTACATATCTATATGTTTTCGGGGTCGCTGTATCCAAATCCGGTGTCCATTTGACTCTATGAGACCTGGGTTAAAGTCAGTTCAAGTCAAATGTAGAGAATCAATTGACAACAAAGTAAACCTACATATCCATACGCATCAATGCTTCATATACATTAATTTACACAGTCCACACAGAAATAGAATCCTTCAATGTTTCCAGTTTTATCTAAGTTTTAAATCTCCATCTACAATTTTGTTTGATTTAAACATGACAAATTTTAAAGAAAAGATAAATGGATTTTCAATTTTTTTTAAATAGTTGTTTTATTTACTCAAAGTTCGTACATGTTATACAAAAAAGAAATAGAGTTAAATTAATGTTATCCTCAGTTTATGTTTGATTTCAAAGCACAACAGATCAATATATTTTTTTATAGCAAATACTTCATTTCAGGTTTACGAGAGTAAAGATGATCCCAGGAAAGTTATAAACGTTACTGACTGGTTGAGCTCTGACATTCTGGATAAAGTAACACCAGCAATAATTTCACCTCATCCAAATACTTACACGTACAGTAAAAGGCTAGCCGAGACGCTTATTGCAAATGAATTGGATAATATGCCTGTTTGCATCATACGTCCATCTATAGGTAACTATCCCACGATTAGTGATGATCCTAGATAAATGATACTGGTGATGATTTAGTCTTCACCGCAGATATGATAATTTTGTTTCTTTACATATACACCGATTTCAAAATGAACTTCATCACTAAAGATGATTTTGTTAAAAAATCATCATTTTCCACATGATACAATGTTAACTGTTATAGAGTATTACCCAGTAGCGAGTCAACGCAGATCTAACACTTGGCAATAATTATTGTGTTAACTGTATTTTGTAAGCCTTTAAGTGAAGATCCTTATACAAAATATTGAATAAAGCGGTTTGTTTAATGCCTAATTGCTGTGAACGAGTAGATGTGTTTGGTTTTGCAGTTACACTATAATTGACAGCTGCAATATTTTCTTGTGAACGACGCCTGTAATTTTTACTTCTTTGATCTTGAATTGAATCAGTTTCTTCGAATTTATTCACAATAAGTATTTGGTAGACAATTTGTTTTTCCATATTTTGTACGATATTTTATTCCACATTTAAAATAAATTTTTAACAATAAAGACAAGTTGTTCAGTCGAAGTCATATTGATTAATAGCTGCCAAAACATCAAAACTATTCCAGTACAAAAAACAAATTCAAAAAGTTAACTCAAAGTACACCCTTATATTATCGGTGATTTCAACCTACTAAAATATACAGGGTGTTCCTGTTCACCATTAGTATGTCTTGAACTAGATGTAATTACTTAATCACCTTGATTATATTGCGTTCTAAAATTATATTATTTTTGACTTAAACTCATATTAATTTTATAACTATTAATCAATTTATGTTTCAATACATAAAAATATCTCTGGTGATATAAATAGCATTGACGCACAGGTAAATATGTTTTTTCTATTTTATCTAGTGACATTCAACATAATTAAATTAAACTCTGTTGAAGGTAAACTAATTGAAACGTTATAAGAGCTGTATATATAGATCTTTTTTAAACTCGATGTTAGACAACTAATGATTAATGACAGCAGAACAAATATACAATACTGAAAAAAAAAACTTGTCTTGAAATATTTTGTAAGTCTCTTTTATGACAACAGTATACTTTATAACTTGACAATAATTTTTGGTACTATAGTTTAAAGGATGCCCTAAAAATAGCAGCTTTTCGCACATGTTTACCCTGAAACGTTTTGTCTCGTCATAAATTAAAACAATATCTATTAATTCTGCATAGTTATTCTCATAAGCTATTTTGATCTCTTGTCACACTGACGTAAAACCACATTAATAAGGACATTGCCATAAGTCAATTTATGTGCCAAGATCGAAAAGTTGTGAATTAGTTTGTATACGACTTCCAAGATAAATTTACATGTGTACTAGATATGGTCCTAACAATTATCAACTAAAGTATTGCAGACACGAAAATGAGTTATATCAATGCAAAATATTTGCTAATCAAACAGTATTTAACAGTTCATTTGTATCATCCAGAAAATGAAAAAAAAAATAAGGTGCTTGACTTACAAATATTCTTTTTCAGTAATTCCCTCCGTAGAAGAACCTGTGCCGGGTTGGGTTGATAGCCTCAATGGTCCTATTGGACTTATAGTTGGTGCAGGAAAGGGAGTTATTCGTTCAATGCATTGCAAGGGCGAAAATAGTGGCCAATTTATACCTGTGGATTATGCTATTAACGCCAGTATTATAATAGCGCAGTTAATAGCAACTTCCAAGAAAAAGTGAGTTGCTTCGTCAGTCTTATTAGCTAAGGGAGAAAAGCCTGTTGATTGTTATTGAGAATTTACACCGTTTTTTTAAAGAGGTTCATCATCATTTTTTGGTGCAGTAAATAAACTTGATGTTTTAGAGCAGATTTTAAATCTTCCAAATTCAGCCAAGCCTGTTTAAAATAATTGTCAGTTTTGGAAGTAGTTTCTGTTCTTGATGTTGACTTAATTTAATTAGCTTAATGAATCCTCTTGTTAAAAAACGACCGCGCTGTAGAAAAGTTAGTGATTTTCATACGTGATTCGTTACTGACAAGATACAAGGTGACCATTTTGTGACCTCTTTTGTCATAGACCTACCTTTGGTTAGAGAAAAAAATCTTTGTGGAAATATCAATGAGAGAGACAAAAGGTCGCATTTTAGCATAAATGCGTCTTTTCTTAATGTAATGCCATACATTTTCTTGTCCAATTGAAGCTTCTTTACGCCCATTTAACTTTAATTCAACTTTTCCTAAATCACCAGTTTGTTTCTTTTTATATAATTTTAGTCTTGTTTGAGGTGATATTGAAAAAAGAAGAACACTTTCTCATGGCCACTTTTTGCTCTCTATCGAATGGCATAATCAATTTTTATATGTAACGTTTCGTCTCTCCAGAACCATCATCAACTTCATTTATTTAAATACGCCCCTGGAAATTTTTTTACATTTTTTGCAAGCCTTCATGACCCTCAATACATTACATTACATTGAAGATGAATTTTTAGAGACAAAACGTCTGAATCTGGTTCGAGTTGAAGCAGTACAGTATTGGGAGTCATGAAGGCTTGAAAAAAATGTAATAGAATTTCCAGGGTCGTATTTAAAAAAATGAAGTTGATGATGGTCCTGGAGAGACGAAACGTTACATATAGAAATAGATTATGCCATTCGATAGAGGGCAAAAAGTTGCCATTAGAAAGTAGTAGTAGTGAAAAGGGGTGGCCTCAGCCTGGCAATTAGGCCACAAGTGGGCCCTTTTTGCCCACCCCGCCGTCCCATCACCTGTCCACTCTCTGTCTCTGACCCTCCTCGAACCTACCCGATGCCCTGATGAATGCCAGGATTTTGGTCCATGGAAGGTCTCTGACCTCAACCCCTTGCAGCTCTTCAGCACCAAAGGCTGCACAATGTCCCAGAAGGTGGAGAGGGATAGAGACCTGACAGAACCCCCACCATTTGGTTTAGCGCTCTACGACTGAGGCTCAGCAGCCATCTCGTCTTGGGTTTGTTAGGTACATGTATAAAACTATGGGCCTGCCTACATCCTCTATTTCTCCTCCAATTCCGACCTAAAGTTTGATAGGCCCATTTACTGAGGGCCCCATTGATGCTGCCTCGTGTGTTTCCTAAGATTGGTTCAGATCCCTGGTCAGGTCCCCTAGATTCGAGACGAGCTAATTGATCAGCCCTCTCGTTACCAGGGATACCCATATGGCCCGGGACCCAAACCAGCTCTACCTCTCTTCGTCTGGCCAATGACTCTAGAACGTTTCCACATTCCTGGACAAGAGCAGACCTAGTCCTCGGGGAGCTAACCACTCTGAGCGCTGCCTGACTGTCGGAGCAGATAAAAATCTTCTCCTCTACATAATTCCTTACCTCCTTCTTGTTTTGCTACCATTAAAATAGTAAAAACCTCGGTCTGGAAGACTGTGGCATACATACCCAGTGAAAAGTTTTCCGGGTTACCACTGCCTTCCAGATAAATTCCTGCTCCTGAAAACTCGTCTTCTATCCGAGATCCATCAGTATAGCATACTAGGGGGGAACATATCACCATCCTGCTTTCCCTGCTCTCTCGAGGGGAAAGTGGTGACATACTTCCTTCCTAACCTAAGCCGGTCCTCTGCCTCCGTGACTCTCATGGCGGATATTGGCCATGGCCATGAGAAAGTGTTATTCTTTTTTCAATATCATCTCAAACAAGGCTGAAAATTAAACAAAAACGGATTTCCGAAATTTCGTTTTTTTTTTTTTCAAATATTTCTACTTGTAATAGCCTGTATTTGTTATATTTTAGACCAAAAGAGGTGCCTGTCTACAATTTGACGCAGGATGCGCTATTGAAAATAACGTATAGAGAAATAATAGATATGGGAAGAAATATTGCTTACGAACATCCATTTGAAATGCAGATATGGTACCCCGATGGTGACATTAGATCCTCAAAAATTATTCACACTATATACAGCATATTTTTTCACTGGCTTCCGGCTCTTCTAATTGATTTCTTATTGCTCATTTTTGGACAAAAGAGATTGTAAGTATTAAAGAAATTGTGAGTAATTATAAAATAAAAATACTGCAAACAAACGCGCGATAATATAATTTCTAAGTATACCTATAAATAAATTTGCCGTTTTTAATGTGATTGTAATTATATTTTAGTATGATACGGATTCAAAAGAAAATACACGATGGACTTGGACTATTGGAATTCTTCTCTGTTCGTGAATGGTACTTTAAAAGTGAACGATTCGTTGGTTTAAATGATCTTATAACAGATGTGGACAAAAAAATGTTTACAACTGCAGATTTTACTAGAATACCTATACAAGAGTACCTGACGCGAGCTCTCCTGGGTACTAGGCAGTACTGTTTGAAGGAAGATTTGTCGTCGCTACCAAGATGTCGCCAGAAACAGAAACTGTAAGTTTAATAATTATTTAAACATGGCCGAATTTGAGATAACTAACGATTTTAATTATTAATTAAATGTTGCCTAAGTATTTTAAAATAATCTAACAATTTGTGGTAGATACTAAAATAAATAAGGTAAACCTATAAAGACGTTCACACATTTATTCCCGGTTTTATAGACCAGTAGAAACTCTACTGACCAGTTTTCTTAGTTAAAATATTCAAATCTCCAAAAAATATACTCAAACGGGAAAGTTAATATATCTTTGTCGTAAATTATGGCAAACTCAAACATATCATATAGGTACAAATAATATTATATTAGTTTCTTGAACAAAAAAAAAAATTAAATTACGGTTGGTCCTGAACTTCCTCCTGATATTTTCAAAACGGTACCTGCATTATTAATCGAACTTTCTTCCAGAAATGAGTAATAAGGGAGATATAAGCCTTTGCAGAGCAGATGTTACATTTTGCGATATTTTAAAAGTCCTTGAAGACATTTTATTTATATATTAAACTTAGACTAAGGGAGTTAATGTACCAATTTATGCGGTATTATTCAAAATCCATATAGGTATTGCCTACAAATAAAATTAAACTTTGCTCAAGATAATCAATATTTACTTTCAAATGTTTTTTTTTGCCGCTTTTCCTTCAACATATACCACTGGACTACGTGAACTGATAATTTCTGTTTCAACAGAACTCAAAAGTTTATTTGTATTTAGATAAATTTTGTTAGACGCAGAAGCGTCCAATCTACACAGCGACACGAAAATCACTTCGATCGAACTACCCCTGCGCCCAGCGATCACTACCGAATTTTTGTTATACTTTGAAAATTTATACTTCCTCATGTATCTATACAGGGTATAAGAAGTTTGACTGCCATTTCTTCAGCATGAGAGAGTTAACTAAATCTGTACATCCTTACGTAATTGATAAAAAGGCAGAAATGCCTGAAAGAGGTCTAACAATTACAAGATGTATTATTTTCTTAATAAAAACCCTTCTTTTCGTTTTTTTATAGTATCTTGCTTATTATTACAGATGGACCCAACAAACCCTATATGGCTATGCTCGACAGGGAACGTTCTATCCAAATATGTAAAAATATACAGGGTGTTCCATTTAACTTAACAAAGTTCCGCGGCCATTTTGTTTGGACTTCATTTGTTTTTCTATTATCATTTTCAAAAAATTCATAAAAACTCGTGCAACTTTTATATTTCACATTTTTTTAACTCTTAAAACAAAAAAGTTAATCACCCTGTACAGTACTTTTTTTTCATTGATCGAATTGAAAAATAGTAATATTAATTCACAGCAGAATTTGATTCTAATTTTTTTTACTCTTGTTAAATTTTAAAAAACTTTATAGTTTTCAAGAAAAACCGTATTAACTGACACAAGATTTTAACAGTGTCCATTAGAAAATAATCAAAAAGTCAGTAGTAGGCTTTATCTTTCAAATTTGACAATTGGCCAAATAAATTTTACTTTTTTACTTTACTTCTCTCCTAATTCCACAAAAAGAAAACAAGTACCTAGGTAGTTATTAAATAAGCGAATACTGTATTAAATAAAATACACAAATAAATAATAAAAATAACAATTGATATTTTTTCAACAACAATCGGAGGCAATTGTTGAAATAAAATAATTCTATTACTAATTGACAAGTTTGAAAGATAAATTCATTGCCTACTACTGACTTTTCGATTATTTTCTAATAAACACTGTTAAAATCTTTTTTCAGTACGGTTTTTCTTGGAAACCTTAAAGATTTTTAAAATTTAACAAGAGTAAAAATTTTTACTACTAATTTTGAAAATTAATGCAAATTTTAACAAAATATTTTCTGCACAATGTAAGGACCTTTTTAAATAATTTTGTAATGCCTTAATTAAATTCAAAACTGTTACCATATGCGGAATTGTGTAATATCTACATTCAAATATTTAAAATGTTCCATTAAAAAAAACTAAAATTTTTTATTAAGTATCGCGATTTCATGTTGTTACCTAATATTAGTATTTGAAAATTATATTAAATTGTATCTTCAATTTTTATATCCCTTTTATCTCTTATTCGAATATATTTTTTCGTATCTCAAATAGTAACGGAATTATTGTACTTTGCCACAGTGCACCATCCTGTTCTTAAAAATAACCAATTACAAATTTTTGTAAGTAACTAACAATATATTTCTTTCAGATTATACGTTCTTCACATATTCTGCGTTTATGGATTCTATTTCTACATTTTTTACCTTCTCAGTTGTTATTTCACTCCAGTCCAACGGATTTTTGACACAGCTAGAGATTACTTGAGTTACATTCCAGGAGTCAACGCTATCATTAAACCATCGTCAAGTTAATATTAATCAGAATTAAAATAGGGGAAAATTTGGGATTTTCAGTCACCGTCATCACCTCATCATTTCATTGTCAAATAAATAACATATATTTTATAGAGTAGTGGATGCGTTAATACTAACAATTTTGTACTTTTGTATTATAAAAACATTAATAAACTGTTAGTATATAAATATTAAGTCGTTTTATTTAAGTTAAATGAAGTTCCATATCGTTCCCCACAGGACCATTTTATCAAACAAACTATTAAATACCATTATATCATTGTTATACATGGTGTATCGTAATTAATAGTGCAAATTGAAAGAGCGGGAAATACACGATTCTAGAAGCAAAAAGAGTCTTGGTAAACATGGGTCCGCAAACTTGCCGTTTGCGAGATAATTTAAAATTTGTGGTTACCAGCCATCACTGACTTCATTGTGTGTAAACATCATTCTAGTTAAGAAAACGTACAAATTCAAGATTAAGAAGTTGTTTCAATACGCGCTATTAATTATGATGCACTCTGTATATGGAATTCTCAAAATATTCAAGAACTTAAACAAGAACTAAGATAACATTGATTTATAATAGTCGGAAATTTTCAAGGGGTCATTTGACCCAGCATCAATTACTTATAAATCAATACTACCACATATAACAATAACTTTAGAAACTATGCTGTCAATCCTTGTTGGTACAGTTGAGTACGCAGGTTAGCTAAACCTGTCCACCAAGGGGGATGGTTTTCGGCAAAACATTTTTGTACGGCATTTCTAAAGTATATAGGTTATACAAAAAAAATGAACCTCGACCTAATGCAGTACAAAAATAGCAATACCGGAAGCCAGGAAAATTTTGGCTCGGTTTTTGGTGATTTACTAGGTATAGTACGGCATTTATACTGCAAGTTTCGGATTGATACGTAGATAACTTTTTTAGTGACGCCGTACGTATCTGCTGATACAGGGGTTAGAAATGTAGGGCGCAACCCTCTATTTTAGCCCCCATTGCTTCAAGTCATTGAAAAATGTATCGATTCGATGATTATTTAATTCTCCAAATAATTCTTAGAAACTATGCCTTCTGAAAATTATGGTTAATGTAAAAGTTTATAAACAATTACTTGTATTTTGGAATTGAATTTTATTTTTTTTTAGATCATTAATTGCTGTACGGCAATCACATTTTTGATAAAATATGACCAAAAACTATTAAATCACGGCCGGTTATAATTAATGGTACGAATTCAAATTTCGAATTAAAAACAAATAAATAATTTGTGAAATGTTACAATATTTTGAAAATTCCTTGTTATAAACTAAAAATGTTATACTCAAAATATTATGGCTGTAATTGACTTTTCATAAGTAAAATAATAGAAAAAAACCAATGCCGTACATTTTTAGCTAGTGGATTTTACACAGCCGATAATATTTTTCATTAAATTTTTACTACATTTTTAGGCCATTAATATCTATACGGCATTTACAACTTTTCATCAGAAATATAACATAAAGAATGAAAATTGCAGTGCCGTACATATTCGTTGGAACAATAAAATTCTCTGAAACTGTATAAGTCCAAAATGAGTTTTATCCTAATTTCAAGAAATATAATTTATACCGTAGAAATTATGATTTCATTGTTTTTAAGTTTACGTATTTTATTTGTTTTATTGTTAATTGTTGTAATAACACGAAGAAATACTTGGTTTCTTTCCCTTTTAATTTCTCATATTATCAAAACATAGTGTTGGTTAAATCGATTTTTCTCGAAAACGGATCGAGATACCGAAATGAAACAAGAGTAAGTACATAATCAATGGAAAAATGATAGCTCATTCAGGTTTTGAATCAAGTTTCATGTTAAATATACAGGGTAAAAAGTTATTACTTAAATTTTCGGTAAAATTGGTCGTAAGTGGTGCCCTCTATGAGCAATGCTGAAATTACAACACTCATCTTGTTCGTCGCTTAAAAAAATATAGTTTCACAAATTTTCAAGTTCCTAACCTACATATTTTCAGAATAATTGCAGAAAAAACGATTTAAAATTTTGCGCCAATGGTCACCATTTCACGTGTAGTATCTTCAGCTTTCGACTTTCCCATTGTTAATGAATCACCCTGTATATTAATGCCGTATAAAAATTTTTCACCGTGAAATCCTACTTTTCAGACGGAAATTAATTTTCCCATAGTCCTATAGTAAGCAGATGTTTCATGAAAAATGTACGGCATGGCCAAAAATGTCATTATTTTCCCCCTCATCACCCCTCATACGCTACTTACTGTATTCCTAACCCCTGTATCAGCAAGTACGTACGGCGTCGCTTAAAAATGTATCTATGTATCGCTCCGAAACTTGCAGTATAAATGCCGTACTCTAATAAATCACCAAAACCCGGGTCAAAATTTTCGGAAAAGCAATTCATTTAGTAATAATAAGAAACAGTTTCCATTATCCAATATGAGTCATAACTTATAACCTTATAAATTCCCACCAGTTAAGAGCTTTTACATAATTTTTATAGGCCATTGTATACTATAAATTATCATGTTCGTTAATTTGGGTGTTACTACTCGGAAGTTGCTAGTATAAAAATAAAGAGAAAACAAAAATAAAAATGCAAGGTTTTTTCTGAGAAGTTAATAAAATTTGTATTTGGTCACGTGCAAAAAAATTCTTCAATCAAGAATTATATATTTATACGAGTTCCATTTTAATCGATACACATGAATATACCGCCAGTGCCTCAAGGTATCGATCCAAATATGAAAATTGTTCAGTTCGTTGGGGGGAAGTGGTTACTGACCTTTATTTTGATTTTAACCGTCACCTCGAAGGTCAATTGAATGTCAACTTCCTAATTTTAAATGGGACCATCTATTTTTCACACTGAAAATTTTCTCAATATGTAATTAAATTAACAACGAATTAATGAAATACGTTGGTGTTAGGTATTCTCAATCACAGGAACAAATAATGTGACGAATGGGTGCAGGAAAGACTATAATATACAAAGGGTGTCCGGGAAAATGTGGGAAATATCTCGGGTGCAGATAGAACAAGAAAAAAAAAAGATATCAAGTTTCTATAAATTTTTTTCGTACATGTCGCTGGAAAATGGTTTTTCTTGAATAACTTTTAAAGTACTTAATATAATTTAATTAATAAAGTCAACCTTCAAATGATCTTCAATATTAAATCCAAGATCACCGATCCACGTCCTGAACATCCTTAAAACATTTGCAGAGGTCTTCAAGGTCTATTTCTGAAGTCGACCTTAAAATGGCCTTGAAGGTCAAGGTCTAATCCAAGGTCACGATTGAGTACCTTAATGAAAATTCCATCGACTTTGGGGGCAAACATTTTATTCCGAGGTTGCTTCAGGGGTGATGAACTATTTGAACTCGCTGTGACCTTGACCGCAGGGTCAAAGTTCAGATTACATCCTAAAAAATTAAAAATTAAATTAAATTAATTAAAATTTTCTGCCGAATCTATTGCCAAGGTAAACAATAGAGTGTCCAATTTAATATTATGATGTTGACCTTCAATCGACCTTCAAGATCACGGTTAATATCAAATTCAAGGTCAGCAACTGCTTTCCCCCAATGAACTGAATAACTTTCATTTAAGGATCGTTAATAAGGATATTGTTACATTAAAATCCATTTTAAGAGGGAATAACTTATTTAAAACCATTTTTTGATATCTTAAAACGAAAATGGTACTTTAGATATACAACAAATATTTTTTGCCTCTGACAAGACCAACATAATGTTGTACTATGTTTCAAATTATTGTTTAATCTCTCAGGATCGTTTCTCAGAAAGCGAAACTTGTACTCAAAAATTTGATATGTGTTTCTTAACTGACAGCGTATCTAAAAATAAAGTCAAGTACACGGTCGATAGCCGCACGGTTTCAGGCGTCAGTACTTAAATCGATGTGTCGATCTGCCCGGGTTTCGAATCCCGCGGCCGGTAGACCGTAGATTGGCTATGCTTGTACGGAGGATTGGCACCCTCTGTGCAGGTATGGTAGGGTGGAAGAATGTTGGCTTGGGTCAATGTGAGAGATTGACACCGGTTGGCATTTGACCACCCCCCTAATTAATGAGGTTTTCCAGGTTTCCCTCATTCCTGCACTGAATGGTGGTTAGGGTCTACCAACTTAAGTCGTTCCTGGGCGTAAATGCGGCCTGCGTAATAATAATATGCCGCCTCCTCTCCCGCACAAGTCTCCGACTTCTGGGCTAACTCTCGTAGTAAGAATGAGGAGTAGAGATATTATTATTATTATTATATTACTATATTCCTTATCAATTGTTTGTAGAGGACACCCTGTGAATATTGGTAAATTTAAAACTTTTTTAATATATTAATTTCATCCGTGAATACACTGTATATTCGAAAATGATATGAAGACAGCGGAAGTTACTTTTTAAGTTTTACTCTCACATTTGTAATTACACTCATATATAAAAAAAGTAATTAAAAAACTATTACATAAATATGTATACATTATTGCCATAATCATTTATTTGACAAAGTTCTGTCTGGCGTTTCAAAAAAGTAATAAATTTCGGCGAGTTATATTTGGTATATCTTAAACTAGTTCGAATTTATGGTTACATTACACAGAATCACAGATGAATCAGATTGCATCGCATAAGGCGGCTATTTGTATTTACATATTTCTGTTTGTTTGTAGTAGTGGTATTATTTAGTTTGCTTTACTGGTACGGTAGCTTTGTGCGAGTAGGTTTCATCAAAAGCTGGCAAAGACAGTGGCAGATAGATACACAATCCTTTCCATATTTAGAATTAATATAAATTGTCACTTCCTGTCAATGTTAAATGTGAAATGATAAACCTTCATTAGATATTTATAAATCTATAAGAATTTTTATTTATAGCGTTTCTACACGTTTCTATACGTTGCTGGCCTATTTTCACAAGGAACTAACTTTGATAGTTTCTTAAATTTTCGTAACTCAATAACTTATTACCAGTTATCAGATCGTTTAATTTATGAGTAAGATTATCTTCTGCTGAATTGGTATTATTACATGCATTTTAAATTGCGGTAGACATTCTCCAAACATTTAAAATATCCACTGATATTATCTTTACTTTGAAAATTAGATATGATACAATCTATTTTACGGTAGGATTACTTTTAA